ATGTTAAACGTCCTCTTCCTGGTTAAGCTGTTAGAACACAAGGTTTCTCCGTATGCTTTGACTCCTCTTCCCTGCCGACATCCTCCGGCCTTCACGGCTTAAACTGACACTACCGTCCTTACCAGCCCCTACTAATGTAATGCGACTACGAGAGCCGCGGTACAAGTCTCCTTAGATTTCCGTCTGAATGCATCGATTGCCATAACCAATCATTTCATCGTCGCTGAAAGCCATGATGTATTTACTTCACCGCTTCTGAGAGCCGTTACGTATAGTGTGTTACCGTGTAATGTATTAATTCGTTGGTATCGCCATAAAAAAACTTACTCAGTTTGCGTTGAAACGCTGACGTATCCTTTCCTGACTCTTTTTCTTGATATCCCAACGAAAGGGGATTCGCTGGCGTCGTCTATACAATATTCATTGTCATCGTCCATGCCGCTTGGTTGTTGATCGCTGCAAAAGTTATGAAATATGTACATACATACTTTCAACATTCAAATTTTGTTTGTTTTTTATTGACTTACATTTCGGCTCCGGGGATGGCACCTCGGCTTAGCAGTGCACGACCGTTCCGCGCAATCAAATCTGTACTTAAAAAATGATTGGAACACACAAACGGTTCCCTTGGCAATTGCTGCTCGCTTAATCCGCAATCCTTCATCCACTTTTCCCGTAAATACGGCACAACAGGAAATTTGAAATGTTTTACAGCTGTATTCCTACAGCTATTCCGCGTGTTGAAACATCCCCGGAAGCAGCAGCTCATTTCTTATTTAATTTTATTTTATTATGAATATTTTTTAATATTTTTGAAGTGATATGTTTGGCTTTGCTTAGTTTTATTTTTTTTTTTCAACGCCAAAAAGGTGCATTTGTTTTTTAATAAATTGGTAAAACAAAAAATACGAAACACGTTTTGTGTCAGATAGCTAACAGGCGGATAAGAAGAAGAAGTGAAACTACCTTCTAAAAATTATTGTATCATGGGTAGCACCTGTTGTTTTCGTTTCCCAGCCAAAAATATACCCGTATACTTGCTTCAAAAACCTCTATCACCGTCGTTGTTCGAAATTTGTCGCCCGGTTATGGTAACCGTGCCCATATGTCTATACCCAAGTTTTCCGTTTAAATAAATAAATAAAAATTTCAATACTCATCCGACTATGCCATCCACAAAATTTCTGCGCAGAGGGTGTATACATAACCCAGACAATAAGACATAATTCATAAATTGCTGAAATCCTTTTGCAGAGAATATCTTTCTGCGTAGGAGGCCTAAGAAGAATTTTCCTTTCTGTGTTGCCGAAGAAGAGGGGCTGTGCACTTTTTGCTGAGAACACTTTTCTGCGTAGGCGGCCTTCGGCCGCACTTACGGATTATAACCCTCACTAAGTATAATTCTCCTTTCCGTGTTGCCGAAGAAGAGAGGCTGAAAGATAAAAAAGTCATATCCCAGTAGATAATTTCAGGAGTTAAAAGCCCTTCCGAAAGGCCTTGCTGAGAGTCAAGAGGTCTTCCACTCTACAGTCCTTTCTTCTTTCTTTTTTGTATGGACTGGAACAAATTGAAGAGCTCCTTCTTCGCTACCCAGAAAAGGCCTTCAGGAAGGGCTTTTATAGGACGTACTTCAGAAGGCCTTATGGAGGAGTAAATATATCACGTGTAGGACATGCGGTCTAGAGCGTAATTTCCAGAGCCGCCAAAACTGGCGGTTGAAAAGGATAGTTTCCAGCTGCCTTCTATAGACTTATCTACGGGCAGGTGATCTGAATGGACGACATCCAGAATCGCGCTATTTGATCGGAAGAAAAGGACTAGTTTCCATGCCGACCTTTCTATTTCATACATTATGGGCGATCTAAATGGACGAGATCCTGAGTCACCCTGCTTGTACGGATGGAAAGGACTAGTTTCCATGGCGAACCTTTCTATCTTGTTTTTGTTTTGTTTATTTGGTACGTTCATTCTGACCTATTTCAAACTTCAGTACCACAGTTGAATTTTATTATAGTACATCTACTCAATGGCGTAATATTTTACATTTATATACATATTTATCTAATTGGTAGTGTTTTGTAGTAATACTAATAGCTTTTAATAATACACTAATAGCTTTTTAAACTTACAATCGCTGGTACATTCTTTTGTTCTACCTGTTAGATCAATGTATTCTTTAATTCCATCGAAGTATAAACTCCTTTTTCCAAATTCTGACTTTACTATATGTAGGCGAAAATTATTTCTTTTTCTAGTTTGATACTTATGATCAGGGAACCGATTTTATGGAAATTGACTTTTTCTGCTAAAGATACTCTATATTCGATTAAGAATGTCCACGATTTAGCTTTCCCGATTCCATATATAATCATTTGATGTAGCCTTTTTTGCCTTTCTACCTTTAATTGTAAAATCCAAGGAAAAGGGCCTTATTCCTGGTAAAAGGAAAGTTTTAAACTTTCCATATTTATATTGGGCGCCACTTTCCATATTTAAATTGTCCACAAAAAAGGTTGATGTGGACAAAAAAATTTTGAGAGCCCAAATATGAACCGATTTCAAGTCTTTTTTTAATAAAAGATAATTAAATAATTAATTTAAAAAGCTCTAGTTTTTTATTTATTTATGTTGAAAAATTAAAGAAAACATTTTTTACGTTTGAGTGCTTCCACTTTTTTTGAAAATACTTGAAATTAAATTCAAATGCCTGAAATTATTTAAAATATAATATAGTTTCAAATCGTCGGCGTACATCAAACAGCTGCGAAATTTCAATATTGAAAAAAGCAAGGGGCCCAAATGACTTCCCTGCGGGACCCCTAATGTGACTGTTATAGATTTAAAGAGGTTGTTGCCAATTTTAACCACAAATTTTCTGTCTTTTAGGTAAGACTCGAGTGAACCCCAAGTTTATCGAGTTTTATAAGAAGCAAATTATGGTTTAGGCTGTCGAAAGCTTTCACAAAGTCCGTGTACAAAGTGTGAACTTGTTCGCCCTCCTCCATCGCATTGACTAAGAAATTTAGGAATATGGCGAGATTTGTATTGGTGGATCTGCCCCGGTAAAAACCGTGCTGCTGAGTAACAATATAACTCTTAAGTGCCCCAAAGAGCTGGTTGTTTACAATTTTATGCAGCAGCTTTGGAATGATAAGACAGTTTTACAATGGGGCGATAGTTTTCAACTAAATTTCTTAGGCCCGACTTATAAATTGGGGAGATAAATGAGGTTTTCTACTCGTCAAGGAAGTAACCATTTTCAAGGGATTTACTGAAAGTTTTGGTGAGGGGCAGATAAAGAGAGACTGCACAATTCTTTAGAAACAAAGGCGGCAGAAGATCATATCCTTCTCCTTTGAAACATCTAAACCGTAAAGCGATTCGAGAATCTGTTCTTCAGTGACAGTAAACTGTCCAATATTTATACATTCCAGCAAAGTAGAGGTGTCAAACGATGTAGTGACAGTATTAAACCTATCAAGTACCGACCCAAAGAAATGAGCGAAAAGTTCACACGATTCTTGTGTTGTGGAAGCGACGGAGTCCCTAAATGTCATGTATTTCGGGATGCCACTAACTTTTCGTTTTGAGTTAAAAAATAACCAAAATGATTTAGGGTTAACTTTAATATTAGTCTCTAGCGAATTAATATATTTGTCGTATACAAATTTTGATAAGCATTCAAATTCCTTTCAACGCTGGACACAAAGTTTGCTTTAGTATAATTAAAAATGTATTCGGGTTCGCTATGACCATTTTCGTACTTGTAGAATGAAAATTGGATTGCAATTGCTTTATGATGAACCGATGCACTGGTTAGAGGTACATCATGTTTACAAATATTAAAGGCAATGCCATTTTATATAAAGACAATCTAATATTCTGCTTAGGTCGTTTACAATATCGTTAATTTGAAATAAGTCGAAAGAATATAATCAATTCTGAATATTCCCGAGGATATCATTTCTCGCGGATTTTACTTTTCTGGAGAATAAAATCCTCTTATTCTAAACTGCAAGGGAGGAGCATTTTCCCCGAAAATTTAGGAGCAGGGAATTCGAACTTTCGAAGAGCTGTTTGACAGATTTTGACAGCTCAACTCCCGCCATTTAATTTGCGTGTTTTACACATAAAGCATAAATGTGTATTTGCATTTGTAGCTATTAATAAATTAGTGCGCGGAAATTTCAGTTCTTTATTTTAAATTAAGGTTCAAACTTTTGACTACACGGGTAAGTTCAAAGTTTTTTATTTTGATCGCGCGTTTTCATGTAATAAACCAAAATAAGTGGGCAAATACGATAAGGGTACCCTTTGCTAGGTTCAGTTGCCACTGCATTTTGGAAGCCGCATTATTAATAAACTAGGACAACGTTCAGTTTTGGACGCGCTCATCGACATTTCCCACAAAAAATAACTAAAACAATGCATTCCATCGCGTCTCGCTTAGTGGCAGAGAAAGAGGAAGAACGGCTGATGGCGCAGAGGGTCGAACGACGAAAATTGCGTGATGCTATAAATCCATTCGAGTTGCCGCAATCTTTGTAAGTTACAATTTTTCGACCAGTACTACAAAAAGGTATCGCTAAGCGAGGAATCAAAGAAAGGAGACCTACTGGAAAGAAGCTGAAAGCATCCTCCGACGTTCTGGAAGCTGAACTAAATATTAAGGCTTGCTGAATAAAAAACAATTACTACAGCAGTAACGGCACATTTCAGCTACACATTTTTTTAATTTTTAAGCCGCCGAATTTCAGCTGTTTCTTCGAAGTGCCTTTTCTGCTCTTCATGATGTTCAGTTAAACTCGTAACTGCTCCAGTAACTGCTTCTAATAAAGTTTACTGAATTTTTAGTTTAGCTTCAAGAAGGTCGGAGGATGGATTCGGCCTTTTTACAGTGGGTCGGTTTTCTGGAGCTACATTTACTGGCGGTGGTGGAGGCGATGGCTCGTCGACTGTAACAATGGAGTTATTTGAGACTCATGTATCTCTATTTCCACTTCCTTTAAATATTCTATACAGCCAGACTCGTCTCGCTCAGGTTCTGCAATGATCTCAGACACACTTTAAGGTGGCAATCCAAAAGTATACGCAGATATGTATGCCTTCAACACTTTCCTTCATCCCAATGAGTTTATATATAGCTTCCTCATTGGGAGAACGTTTCTGTTGGGTGTTTGGGCCACCACCCGTGCCTTTGCTGGCTTTTAAATTTTGCGCTGCCTTTTGACGTAAATATTTTTGTTGGTCGGTCCACCCTTAAAAAGTAAATAAAACGATAACTCAAAGCGAAATCTACACATTTAATCACTTTTACAAACCTCTTTCCACTCAGTCGTATTTTTGTGGGTGGACCCGCGGAGCTTAGTTCCACTTCAGCGTTCCGCCAAAACCGGGAAACTTCGTCTCTGTTGCCCTTATGGAAGCCGCGAGCAATGCCCGGCCTAGCTTTTTATTTGCTGTTTTGGACCTAAAATGAAAGGATTACACGTTTTATTGCACCAAATTATCTTTAAATTGTAATTATCGTACATTTTTGTAGCTTTTTTGTAGCCCTTTTGAAATACTGGTGAAAATTCTCCCAGAATAACGAAACTAATTCTCTTTTTTAAGTCTTCCGCATCCTTTTTAGAGAAAAAGGAGTTAAAATGCCATCTTCAGGATTTTTTACCTTTTGAATAGAACCCAAATTAAAATCACTTAGAATGCATGGCGTTTGATAAGGTTGTAAAGAGTCCATAATAAGGCTAATATTATCAATATGTGACTTATACATGTCGTAACCATTATTTGGTGGGATGTAACTTACAATAAA